ATATAAAACGTAACATAGTAAAAGATTGTAGTTATAAATGATACCGAGTTATTTAAAAAAAGAAAGCCCGTGAAGATGATTGATGAAGCAAATAATGAAGCTTTTCAGGGCATAAAGAAGCACTCTCGGGTCCCCTTCTCGCATGCTCTCAATTTCTCTACAAATGTTTCAACTTTGAATCTTGATTTGGATTTAAATTTATGAACATTGCTTCAATGCTTCATCAAAGATCTAATGACTGAATTTTAGCGGCTGTTTACCGAATACTTACCCGGTAAGTACTTACCAGTAAAATTTAACACTATCATTTACTTAACAGGTAAGATTTTAGTCCAGCAAAACGGTATTGTATGCAACAATTTACCCGGTAAGCGCTTACCGTGGTAAGAGTCGTCGCCTTAACTTACCGGGTAAGACTTTTGGTTCTTATCTCGCTCTTACACTGATAAGATTCTTGATCCTTACGATATTTATCGGGTAAGGTAAAATGACTTGGTGTTCACTTACCCCAAATAAGCATTTGGTAAATGGCCCCTTATTTTGTTAAAAGCAAATATATAGAAAGTTTTTTTTTTTATCATGAATAATTAAGGGGACAACAAATAGACTCTTATCGTCACAGGGTAAGTACTTACAGGATCACTTACTTTATCGGGTAAGCATGACAATGACATAGAATCTACCCGGTAATAGACATGGGAACAATCGAGGTTCGTACTTGGTAAGTGAGGGATGAGACTTTTACTCGGTTATCATTTACCGGGTAAGAGTCGCTTAAAAACAATCTATTTTGACGGCCGAGAAGGTATTCACCAAGTTTTTGAACAAATAAATCCATGAATTTTTTAAAAGTGATTAAATTGATCTTTTTAACCTATAAAAACGGCTGATAACCTGATATAATGGTAAAATTGTTTTTAAAGTTTCGAAAAGTTACGGACATTTTGATTTTGAACGATTAAGTTCAGGAATAATCATTTTGAACAAAATTATCATCGGACTCTCTAAAGCCATCTAAATAAATCATTTTAGTTCATTTCTTTTAATTCGATTTCTAGCTCGATATTTATGTTCGAATTTTTTGCTTAAACGTTCATTGTTTGCTTCCCTTTTTAATCAATAATTAAAATACATGTTTTTATTAGATGTTTACTACATGTATGTTACAATAAAAAATTGTTTACTTTTTTTTAACCATAAGGGTGGTGCCTGATTGGTTTGAACTTGGCTCCAAAGGTCAAAATTATCAGGAGGTCTCAGGTTCAAATCCAAGAAAGAATAAAAATCCCCTTTTGGCCACGGAGGTTCAAATGCGGTGACTCTGGGCTATCTGCAAAGCAGGTGGTTGCCTTGGAATTAGTCGGCTCGCATAGCGGGTTGGATATCCAGGTTAATAAAAAAAATGTTTTTTTGTTGGTTAGATTATTTTCTTGGGTTTTGTTTATTAGGTTATGTATTATTTTGGGAATTGTGATGAACATCAGTAATCGACATTTATTGTAATGATATTGCAATTTGAAGTTTGAACATTTTACATTTTAACTCGAAAGTTTAGAGTGGATTTGTAAACTTTCCTATATTTACGAACTGGTGTCGTAGATTAGGGAGCAAACGAGAGGGGAGAGTCTCATTTCAGCCCATTTGTGATCGACACCTCGAGGGGGTGTGTCTTGGAGAAACGAAGGAGTTTGTGTAAAGCAATTGGGTGATTGAGAGAAGAATCGAAGTGGTAGTTGGTACACAGTAAACAAGAAACAAAAATTGGTACGGTATCATGTTCACCTTTGAATGGAAACGTTACAACTTTTGACCAAATATCGTGTGAGAATGAGAGTTAAGGTGAGAAATGTAAGAAGAGATCTGGATTCTTGATCATCTTTAATCTCAAACCCAGCCATGAATCTCGCTTGGTACGGGGATTGATCTGATGCATCCTGGTGCATCTCAACCTAATGTACATTTAAGAATGAAAATTCCTTCTTACGCTTCTCACTGGAACACAACCCATATATTTTTTTTTTATCATTGTATGTTTATATTTTAAGATCTCTTTAATTGGTTTATAAGTATAAATATTTATTCATTAAAAAAATGTTTAGCGACTTAATCGTTTAAAATTATTAAAGTTTTTTTTAGTATTTTTCCATTATTTTACTACATTAACTCTATTTTGCTGTTTAGATGAAGAATTTATTAGGTTTTATAAATACCATAAATTTTCATTTTAAAAATTATACAAAAACTTAATAATTTAAAATTAGAAAGTCGGTTAGGTCTTCTTAACTTTTCCCTTCCTTAAAGTGCATTTAGATGACTTCAATCGGGCTTCATGAGCCTATGGGGTGTAGCTCAATTTCGCAAAGGGGCAGCATAATTATGCACAAATACCAGAGATATCTTGGGTTCGATTTCAGCCCCCTGTTCGTATCAGTTGTTGAATGAACCAAAACATATCCTTCAAGTTGATGTCTTTGAAAACAGATTCCATATGAAACCGATTAAAATTATTAAAATTGGACTTCATGAATACCAATATACCATAACATCTCATCTTTTCATTAGCATTTCTCTACTTTCTAGTAGGGGTGCTCAAAAACCCGATGAACCCGACCAACCCAACCCGAATTTAAAAAAAAAAAAACCCAACCCGAGGTAACCCGATGCATGATCGATAAAAAAATTAGCCAACCCGACCAACCCGATGAACCCGACCTTAACTTTAGCTTTGAATTGTAGATGACAATCATGACATGACCAACCTCAACGTCAAGAAAGCGAAAGCATCGGGGTTGGAAACGTTTAAAACTATCGTTGTTGATTGATGTATTATCATTTGGTTTAAACATTTTTATTGCAATATCTAAATATTTAATGGACTTGCATATTATCTTGAATGGTCGGTCGTATTTCAAAGGAAAGTTTCCTTTATTTTTATGTGATTTTACATTGTTTAAACACAACCCGATCAACCCGAACGAGTTGGGTTGGGTTGGGTTGAAAATTTTCAAACCGCCAACATTGGGTTGAGTTGTTAAAACGGCTCCAAACCGATCAACCCGGGCCGTGAGCATCCCTACTTTCTAGTTCACTTTTCCCCCTCTATATCACTTGTTATATTTTTTTAAATCGCAAAATGAATTTAAATAAATTGGTTTTTTTATTATAAATGTTGTTCAAATGAAGTAATCTAACTAATTTAGACCATATTAGAAGGGTACTTACGATATGCATTAAGATACATATCAATTTTAATGTTTTGTTTTATTTTGTCATAATATGGTTTTAAATGGTGTTTAGAAAACGCTAATGTTTTTATGTTTGAATAAAATATAAATTTGAAAATCCCATAAAAACTTGAAAAAAAATATTAATATTAGTATCAAATTAAGTATTTAAAAGTTCTCATTTTTTATATAATTTATTTTAATTTATTTTTTATTATAATTTAATTTAGGTTTAATAATCAAGTAATTTATTTTCGGTTTAATAATTATAAGGATAATGATTAAATATTTTATTAAACCTTAATGACTATCCTAATTATATTTTAATTTTTTATATATTTAAAATGAGAACTTTAAGTAATATGTATCGATAAACAATACTTGATGCATAAAAAATAATTTTTAAGAGTTTTTTATCAAATATTTTATAATACTAGAAAAATACTCACACAATGCAGCGAGATACATCTTGAGTTTAATATTTCATTTTATTTTTTATCGCAGCCGATGTTATAATATGGTCTTACGTGATTTAAAAAAAAATGATGATATTTTTATTTTTGAATAAAATATAAATTTGAAGATATCATAAAAATTTGACAAAAATATATTGATATTAGTATCAAATTAATTATTTAAAATTTCTCATTTTTTGTGTAACTTTTTAATTCAATTTATTTAATTATAATTTAATTTAGATTCAATAACGAAGTAATTTATATTTGGTTTAATAATATAATTTTCTTATATAGATAATAATTAATTATTTTGTAGATATCGATAATTATCCTAATTATACTTTAGATTTTTTATATTTTAAAATGAGATGTTTATTCTCTATTTGATTATGTTTATCCGCAGTTAATTACACGAATTCAAACATGAAGCTTTAATAAGTTGTAATTATGTATAATTGACTTGTAATCTTGAATTTTAAGTAATATGAATCAATATACAACACTTCATGCATAAAAAATGATTTTTAAGAGTTTTTTTGTCAAATGTTTTATAATATAGTATAGATATAGATTATAAAAATATTTAGGTTTTATATTGTAGAAACTTTTAATTTTTCAAAAATACAACTATAGATAAACTATCTACAAATCAATAATGCAAACAAAATTTTGTAATATTCCTATTTAACCATTTTGTAGCAATAAAATAGAAGTTTGAAAGAGGTTTTTTGAAACTCATTATATTTTCCATATGCATGGACTAAGATATAGATTTATCTCAATTTAAAAAAAAAATAACTAAATTATCGTAAAATTACAAATATATTCACATAAGAACATATTTATATAATATATTAGAAGGGTATTCATGCAATGCATCAAGACACATCTTGATTTCAATGTTTTGTTTTATTCCTTTTTTATGTTCATATAATACGGTTTTATGTGATTTTGAAAAAAACGATAATATACGGTACTTCATGCATAAAATAGTTTTTAAAAGTTTTTGTCAAATACTTTATAATATAATATAGAAATTTCTACTACATTATACAGTATTTACAATTTATTAATACGTTCAAGTTTTTTAAAACAAACTTATAACCAATCAAATACAAACGTACTTTTTTAATACGAGATATTCATCCTTGTCATTATGGGCTACCTTATGCTTTTCAGAGTTCAATCGTAGATAAATTATTAAACCCAACGAATACACAAAATAATCTATGGAACGAAAATCATTTGTTTTTTGAAACCATACAAATTCATAAAATATACAAGTTAACCATAATTCAACTAAATAAAGGTCTATTTGAATTTAGTGCTAATACAATCCAACATCTTCATAGGAAATTTCAAGTAGCATTCAATTTGATAAATAGGAAAATCGAACAAAAGAGGAAAAACAAACCCTAGAGAGGAGTGGATACCAAAATTTGGTACTGAATTCAACAAATCATTATTATTTCTGAAAATTATCTCTACAATTTCCCAGAAAATTAGATAATGATTTACTCGGGAATCGAAACAAGTACCGGTCTCCATGCTCGTCTGAGTAACCGTTGCCGTAACGTACCTGACAAAGGCCTCAGTCCTCTGAAACCACCGCGCCGGATAATCAAACCACCGCCAGGACTCCACCTATTACTTTCTTCGCCACCGTCACAGTCGTTCTCTTCAAGCAACCGAGGCGGAGGCGGTGACGGTGACGACACAAGCAAGTCCTTTAGCTTCCGCCTCACACTACCGTTTTTCCTACTTTCAGACGAATCGACATCACTAGATCTCCGATCTAGAAACTCATCACGAGGAGGCATTCGCCGGCCACCGCCACCGCCACGACTGAGCAACATCCGTAACGTCTTCCGTCGTCGTAGGTGAATGACCGGACTTGTAGATGGACTCCGTGTAGGACTTCCGGCAACAGCACATTGTGTCGCTAACAACTTAAATTTTTGAAGTGTCGCCATTAATTCCGATCAAATTAAACTCAAACAAATCAAAATTTAACTCCAACTGATCCGAAACAACTCAAACACAAGTTCAGAATCGTCGTTTTTCCATGAAAACTTTCCGATGGGTAAACACAGAGGGAGATTAGAGAGCGAGAGAGAAAGAGGCGTTAAATAATTGAAGGGATGGGGGGGAGGTGAGGGACGGCGAGGTTAAAGTGACGGGGGGTAACACGAGGGAGATTGAGAATAATGCGACACGTGGCGGAGAACAAGAGTCTTGAATGGGTCTCAAATGGAATGTAACAGGTTGTACGTCGTGCAGTTTTGTTTGTACCTTTGTATGTATGTTCTGTTAAAGTATCGTCTGTGTCATTTTGTACTTGTCCTTTCCGAAACCACGAATAATAATTTTGTTCCCCAATTGGATTTACATCAACAATGTTTAATCATATGCTAACATTCATATTTTAAATTGTTTTTTTTTAATAAGTATTTATGATAACATGGTGAATATTATATACCGTTGGATAAAGAGAGAAATAATGAATGAAAACGTTTAGATAAAATTGATGTCGAATGGAACTCGTTTTTCGTAAGTTATATTTCGACTCAGTTTGATAAGGTATCACGAAGTTAATTTGACAAAAACCCATATTTCAGCAGGGGTGTTTAAAAGACCATTGCACCGTTTAAATCAGATCATTTTTTACGGTTTGAACGATATGACATATGACAGTCTGGTCAAATTTGAAAAATAGCCAAACATCGTTGTCCGGTACAAGATTTGAACATTTTTTGAGTGGTTTGAACCGGATCGACTGCTAAAATACACATTATTGGTTATATTTAGTTTTCATGAAGTGATGATTTTAGTAAAATCACAAACAAATATTAAAGGCATCTCTAATATATTTCTCTAATAAGTATATGATGTAAGGGGGTTAATTAAATGAGAAATTGTTAATTTTAAATAACCGTGACATCCAACGTGAACCACTCTTTTAATATAATTATGTTATTTATTAAATAAATAAATAAATACATAATTTAGTAATAAAAAAGGACAACTAATAACGTTTAATTAATTTATTCTCTCCTTGAATAGGAAACCCATTAATAGAAATCCATAATTCTCTACGGTGTGTTATATTTGAATATTTGATGTCAGTAATACAAAGTATATTTTAGTTGTTTTCTTTGTATCACATTCTGCATTTATGTTGTTTTACAATGTATCACATCGTGTATCTTAGGGTATCACAATGAACATCAGTAGATGTCAGTGAGTATAAAAAAAGAATATTCCTAATTAATATACCACAATGTGTATACAATAGGTATCACCATAGAATGTTCACATCAAAGGAGAGAGGTGAGAGATGATAAAAGATCAGGTATCTAAAATACCATTATTTAAAAAAATTACGAAAAGTTATTACTTTTTTTAATTTAAACTTCAATTTGGTACAAGATTACCACTCCTAGCCCTAAGAGGGTATAAAATTACTGTCTAAGCTGACCTAACCTGTTTAGAGTTTTATAATTAATATTACCGGTCTTTGTATATACAAAAATATTTGACACTTAGGTGTCGTTTATCAAATGCTTACTCGGGTAAGTGAACATCAAGTCTCATTATCTTATCGGATGAATATGGTATGGACCAAGAATCTTATCCGGTAAGAGCGAGACAAGGACCAAGAATCTTACCCGGTAAGAGCGAGACAAGGACCAAGAGTCTAATCCGGTAAGTGAAGGCGACAACTCTTACCATGGTAAACGCTTACCGGGTAAATTGTTGCATACAATATCGTTTTGGTCGATTAAAATCTTACCGGGTTAGTAAACTATAGTGTTAAAGTTTACCAATAAGCGCTTATCGGGTAAGTGTTTGATAAACATCCCCTTACTAAGTGACTTGAGTTTCCTCAAAATTTCCTTCAAAGAGTTTTGTCTCTTCTGATTTTCGATCTTCTATAATTTCTTTCTGAATGACACTTGATTCTTCCAATTTCTTGATCTCCTGACTCCACAAATTTTGAGTACTTACCTAATCGACAACACCAATCATCATCGACACTCAGTAGTCACCAAACCTCATTGTTCTATTGTCTTTTCCGTTGTACCAAAAAAGGTCCATCAATCGCTATATATACTCAAGTCAACTACGGAGTTGTTCACTTATTCCTTTTTTTACTTTACATGAAGACTGGTTTTTTAATGTAGATTAATCTTGTTATATGCTGAAATTACACTGCATTTCGATTTTCATAGTAAGGCTATCTGTAACTTTGGATGTAAGAAATGAGCAATGTCTACCATGTGTTTGACAAATGTCTCAATCAAAATGCATGCAACAAAGCACATGGCCAACTTCACGGTTATTGATGGTTATTCGATTCTAGATGGATCTTGATCGAAATAAGCAAACAAAATTTAAGATCGTCAAAAGGTAAATCTTTTTTCTATAAGCAATTTGTTAGATTTTTGCAAAGATCGTGTTTTTGACTCGGAATCGTCAATCTAATAATCTCAAACTTTTTTAATTAATAAATTAACTTATATTAAATATAAATAAATTAATAAGGGTAGTAATGTAATTAAGTACTTTTTATAATTTTTATTTTATTTTAATTAGTCATAATTATCTCTTTTTTTCCTGCACGTTCATTTCCACTCTCTTTTTTCCTCTTGTGATAATTGTGTGATTGTATAACCATAACCTATTGAAACCATGATCAGTCAAGTGTAACCATAACCTATCGAAACCATGAGTAATCSYTGKGATAAATGTGTGATTGTCTAACCCTAACCGATCGAAACCATGATCAAATTGAGTGCGCAAGTGATGTTATAATAGTGATATCACATGATTATCACACTCATATCACACCAAATCGTTTAGTGGATGTCGCCCGTAATCGTTGTGATAAATGTGTGATTGTCTAATCCTAACCTATCGAAACCATTAGTAATCGTTGTGATAAATGTGTGATTGTCTAATCCTAACCTATCGAAACCATTAGTAATCGTTGTGATAAATGTGTGATTGTCTAACCCTAACCGATCGAAACCATAATCAAATCGAGTGCGCTGTTATGATAGTGATATCACATGATTATCACACTCATATAACATAAAATCGGTAGTCGATTTTCTAAGTTAACCCTAGCCGAGTGGAATCCTTGTGATAATTGTGTGATAATCACATGATTATCACACCAAATCGTGTTGATATAAGCGATAATGTGATAATCACATGATTATCACACCCAAATCGTGTTGATATAAGTGATAATGTGATAATCACATGATTATCACACTCATATCACATGATTAACCGTTTATTAGATAATGATAATCATGATCGTGTGTAATCGTGTTAAAAGATTTTATGATATCATTTTCATTATTACCCTTTTATTTTTAATATTTTTGAATCTTTTTAAAATTCAATTTTAATTTTAAAAATCTTTTAATTTTATTTTTTATCACAATATGATGTTATTGGATTGTTCTCACATTCTCATAAATCACAAGGGTTCTCGTTTGAACCCTTTCCTATATATATATATATATATATATATATATATATATATATATATATCAAGTTATCAACCCTTTACAGGATTCGTGTTAATACTTTTACTGTTAATTGAATAAAAATTTATATTTCATTCCAAGAAAAGCGACACGATGGTGATTGGTTCCACAGGCAGTACGAGCCCATCACATCACATCAGTATCATGAGCTGTTGCGTTGGTTCACTAATAAGCACCACCGACGTTAAAAGTGAAGTCTTCGTCAAAGACCCATTGTTCTTCTTTGCAAGATGTGGGAATAAACTTTATGGTGCAATGGAAAAATCACAAATTCAAGAATCTCCCACTTCGGTTCTTCATTTTATGACATCTCATATTTAACACGTACAAAACAGGGCTTCCCAAAAATACCGTTGCCTCTAGTATGAGGATGTTACAATTTTGGACCAAATTGACCTTTTTAAGATTAAATATATTCATATTAAATAAAAAAAACTAACTGAAACACAAAAATAAATTCTCATAAAATGAAATATAAAACAAGCCAATTTTATTCAACTTCATATGTTACCATTATTTTTCGTGGTAATTCCAAAAACATTACTTGTTTATATAACATAGTAGAACACTTTTAGAATCAGAACCCCAAATCATTTCTAGCATTTAGGGATGACAACGCCACACTGTCTAGCAACTCGTCGAGCGTTATCAGGAGTGACATATTGACGAAGGGAGGGGTTTTGAAGATACCCACAGAAACAAGGCCTTTGCTCCTTCACTTTAGCGCAACAATCTCTCGATGGCGGTTGTGGCGACGTGATTGCCCCTGCACACACCACAAGCTCCATGTAGTTGCAATTTGCCGCCTCCGCGGTTGGGACATGACCCATGAGTACAACCGTCAATGCATAAAGTACAACCACACAACATACCTTGGTCGATCCCTTCATTTTTGGCCGATCTTTGTAAGGAGTAGGGATGTTTGTGGTTTGTGAAGAAAGGGTTTTGCACGATTTATAAATGGAATGGGGTAGGTGAAGATTTAATGCTTCATTGACTCGTAAGTCAATTTGTTTACATGGTGGAGAAGATTGGTACCAATTTAATGGTATGGTGATAAAAGAACACAAAGTCATGGACATCATTTATTTAAGTCAGCTATGATAAACTTATTATTGACTATCACGACAACGTTACACTTGATGGTAAAGGAAGGCCTTGTAATATACAATTTTCATGTGTAAGTGAAATTTTATTTGCGGATAAAACGTACATACAAAAGCGCCAACATATAAATCAATATTTTATTTGGCCGTTCTCTTATGGGCCGTTTACCTAAATGTTTACCCGGTAAGCGCTTACCGTCAGAAGTCAATACTGTAATTTATTTTACCGGGTAAGATTGTAGTACAAGAAAATGGTATCGTATGCAACAATTTACTCGATAAGCGCTTACTCGGGTAAGGTAAGAGTCGTCACCCTCACTTACCGAGTAAAACTCTTCATTTTTATCATTGTTCATCAACGGGTAAGATTTTTGACCTTTGTCATGTTCATACGGTAAGAAAAATTACCCATTAAACATTTACAGGGTAAACATTTAAAAAACGGCCCCTTACTATAGCTATATTGTTCAATATTAAGATAAGTATTTTGAAGAACAAAAACATGAAAATAAACAATCTGGGTTTTTTAATTGATATACATTATTCGTATAGTCAATTCTAAGTAGAAATGCATAACGCTTGCGCCTTCCATGCATATTTTTTAGTAAGAAAAAAAAGTCCAGGTCTTTTCAGGTCTGAGCTTTGGAGTTTAAATAGGCTTTGATCGGGATTTTTCAAGCTAGGCTTTATTTAATTGGGGATTGAAAAAAGGTATGCATGATCAGACTTTAAGGTTGGACCTAGACCTAGGCCTAGGCTCGAGTTTCTTCTGGTCAAGCTCGAGCCAGGCCTGGGTCAAGCTTTGGATTGAGTTTTTTTCGTGCATCTCTTTAGATTGAGCTTTTTCGTGCATCTCTAATTTTAAACAAGGTATAAAATATAACTATCGTGTTTAAGGGTAAACTTTTTGTATTTATTTGTTGATCGTTTGTTTTAAACTATTAAACTAGGTCATGTTGCTATTTAAATTTTAAAAAGAGAAAAATAATAAATTATTAGAAGATGTAAATTTTAATTTATAAAATACAAAATCTTGAATAGAATTTGTAAATTGAAGGTCTAAAGTGTAATTACAACATAAATGAAGAAGCATGTGAGAATATGAGTTATGGGAAGAAGTGTTTAATCACTTTTAATTTCATTCTCACCCATGAATTACGTTTGATATAGAAATTGATCCGATGCATCTCAGTATATCTCATTACACTTGATTTTCAATTAAGATTGATTTAAAAATGAACATTGATTATTTCAATTGTTATCGTAATCCAATCCGTACAAGAAATAAAATATAGTGGTGTCAAGAAAATGATGACCCAAGCGATTTAAATTTGAGCAATTAATAAACTGGAATCGGTATGGTTGACATTGATTTGGAGTGACTCCTTATTACTTATGGGGTGTTTGAGATTGCTTATAAAAGCTGTTTTTTAACTTATTTCATTTTGGCACCGGTGATAAGTTGTTTTCTGGTGTTTGGATAAGAAGAAAAAAACTGTTTATACCGGTGTCAAACCGGCAATAAGCTGTTTTTGATAAGTTAATCATTCATGACTTATGAAAAACTGTTTATTACCAGTTTACAATTTTAACCCTGTTTTATTTAACTCCGATTTGATACCACATAAGTTAATAAGCACTTTTACAAAAAAACACGAGTTGTTTTAAATAAGCAATCCCAAACACCTAGGGTTGTAAACGAACCGAACGTTCAGCGAACCGTTCATGAACCGTTCGGTGGGAAGTTCATTTATGTTCGTTTATTTAATAAATGAATGAACATGAACAAATTTTTTTGTTCGTTTAGTTAAACGAACGAACATGAACAAGAGTCTAGTTTGTTCATTTATGTTCGTGAACGTTCGTTCATTTACCGTTCGTTTACGTTTGTTTATATTCGTTCGTTTATGTTCGTTTATATATTGAATTTAATATATAATCTTTTGATTATATACTTTGAATTCAAATAATATTTGTTTATGTTCGTTTAGCCCGTTCGTTTATGTTCGTTTAGTCCGTTCGTTTATGTTCGTTTGTTTATGTTTGTTTAGCATATTAATGAACGAACATAAACGAACACGAACATACCTGATTTCTAAACGAACGAACACGAACACAAAGATTTTCGTTCGTTTACCGTTCATGTTCGTTTGTTTGTTCGGTTAAGTTAAACGAACGAACATGAACAAGCATCCGTTCGTGTTCGTTCGGTTCGTTTACAGCTCTACAAACACCCCTTAGGTGGGAGTTACCAATTATTTAATATTTTTTTTTATTTTGCTATTGTCTTTTATTTCTTGGCAGAATCTAGAACCTCTCACACACATACATATGAAAATACGGAGAGAGTATTTTTTAATACAAACCATAAATTATACAAATCAATACCATTCTTTTATCTGTATTATATTATATAATTTTTTTAAATTACCGTGAAAGTACGATTGAATTTCCAAGTTGCTTTCTAAATAAGTATTGTGAGACTAATCTAAGGGTCTCAGATATTTTAACATATTATTAGAGTCCAAATCTACACTTTTAAGTTTCAATGGTAAAACCAAGAGTTTTGCCAACAGATGCACATTTAAGGTGGATCAAAGGTTCGCAAGGTCAACTCATGTTTTTTAGCTGAATTATGCCATTTTTGAAATAAGTTTTAAGTTTTTTTGGCTGATTTGAGGACTTTTTTTGTTTTTTTGGTTGATTTCAATAGAATTTTTTGGTTTTTTTGTTTGATGCTTCTTGCTTTTTACAAATATCTTGACGCACCCCTTAAAGTTTGTTGTCTGCACTTTTCATATCCCAAAAAAAAAATGCATTTACGAAAATCGATTTAACAGATGTCCAAAAACCTGCTGGCTCCTTCATAGATCCGTCCTAAGGCTTGAGATTCTAATGACAATTTGTACTCGTTTAACACCCTCATCCGTTAATCCTCTCTCAACACTATATAAATAACAATCTATGTCTATTTTGCATTCATTAAAGAAGCATGTAAAAGTCCTATAAGTCTACATATGTTTTATATTAAAGGCATTTGTAGAAACTAGAAAGTCAATGAAAAGGAATATAGCTAAATGATGGATCCTAGAGATGGACCATGGTTTCTAGTGAGGTTCCCTCTTACAATTCTTCAATGTTAAGTCTCTCATTTTCAACCACAAGAGTGATGACTGATTAGTTTGAGCTTGACTCCAAAGGTTAAAAGTACCAGAAGGTCTCATGTTCAAATCCAATGAGAAATAAAAATCCTCTTATGGCCACGGAGGTTCAAATGCGGTGACTCCGGACCATCTGCAAAGCAGGTGGTCGTCTTGGGATTAGTTAGCTCGCATAGTGGGTTGGATATCCAAGTTAATAAAAAAAATCTCTCATTTTCTTTTGAAGAAACACATAAATCATGATAAACCTTTCATTTATTATTTATGTTCTCTCTAATTAAAGGTTAGGCTAATCAGACTGGTTTTTTTCTATATTAAAAACTTAAAATTTTATACTGTTTTTTTATTAGACAGGAGGTAAACATATTTCTAATTAACCTTTCAATACAATCTTATTTCTTAATGTCAATTTATAGTCTCGTTATTCACTTTGCATTGTATATAAACATTATTACGTGATCCAATAAACTTTGATTTTATTAATTCATTTTTTATGTTAATTACTAAATTATTTATGGGAAAATTGCACCAAAATGGAACCAACTTTCACCTAATTCCTATTTTGGGGAACCAACTTTTAAAATCGTCATTTTGGGGAACTAACTTGCACCTGATTTCTATTTTGGAGAACCAACTTTCAAAATCGTCATTTTGGGGAACCAACTTGCAAACGATTCTTATTTTGGGGAACCAACTTTCAAAATCGTCATTTTGGGGAACCAACTTGCACCTGATTTCTATTTTGGGGAACCAACTTGCAAAATAATTATAGAAAAATAACCAAAATTCGTTTTTTTCCAAAAATTAATGCAATAAAATATATTTTTCATTTCAAATCTCGTTTTTTTAATTCAGATATCAAATTGAACATTTTTAAAAAAAATCCAAATTATCACAATAAAAATTATTTTTTACTAATGCAAAAAAAATTAATTTTAATAGAAAAAAATTAATTGATGCAATTGGTTAGATATAAAAATCTTGAATGTGATGTTTAATATTTATTCTTTATTGCATCAATTAATTTTTTTCTATTAAATTGATTTTTTTGCATCAGTAGAAAACAATTTTTATTGTGGTAATTTGGATTTTTTTTAGAAATGTTCAATTTGATATCTGAATTTAAAAAAAAAAAAACGAGATTTGAAATGAAAAATAGATTTTATTGCATTAATTTTGAAAAAAAAACGAATTTTAGTTATTTTTCTATAATTATTTTGCAAGTTGGTTCCCCAAAATAGGAACAAGATGCAAGTTGATTCCCAAAATGACGATTTTGAAAGTTGGTTCCCCAAAATAGAAATCAGGTGCAAGTTGGTTCCCCAAAATGACGATTTTGAAAGTTGGTTCCCCAAAATAGGAATCAGGTGCAAGTTGGTTCCCCAAAATGACGATTTTGAAAGTTGGTTCCCCAAAATAGGAATTAGGTAAAAGTTTGTTCCATTTTGATGGAAAATTTTCATTATTTATTTATTAAAATTTTTAATACATGATTACATTAAATATAGAACACAAAATTATATACTAATAAATCAACACCAATTTTTTGCATATTAAATATAATTTGTTTATCATATTATAAATTAAGTTTTATAGATTTTCAGTATAATTATGAACAAACTGGTATAATTGGCAGAAATATGTTGAAATAGATACGTATGTTTGAATTTTTTTTTTCTTTGAGAATAAGTGTAATATTAATATTTATCAAGTAATTTATATTATCAGGAATAAAACAGACAATTACAAGAAATTTCAATCAGGTATTAGTTTTAAGAACAAACAATCATAATGATTATTCTTTTAGATTTCAACGCTATATATCGTATCAATTAGAAATAACATACAAACTTATGTATTTGTACCTTTTAAAAACACAAACATCATTTGAATTACGTTTTTTAGTTAAAACTAAACCTATAATTAAATTACAATTTGATAGTTAAAGATCATTTTGGCACCGGTTTCACATAAAGGTTTGTTCTTTAATCACGAGACTCGAATACGGAGTGTTAAAGTTATGGGCCTAACGAATTGACCATATTTCCACCATGCTTCATGCGCTCTTCCTAGAGGTGATCATTTGCGGGCACGGGTCGGGCCTAACTTTCTTTTTTTGTCCAATGAGCCTAATATTGTAAACTCAAGCCCTTTTTTTCGGCCTTAACAACTTGTCATTGCCCACCCTATAAACGGGTCGAGCTTGCTCACGGGTCAACGGATCTAAAAAGTGTAACTCTTAATTAACAAATGTAGAACCAAAAAGTAAAAGAAAGACATTGTTGCAATTAAAACTTTAAGCAACTATTGACTATATTCATTGTTGATCGTTAGAACTTTTGATATAAGGATGCTAACAAACATAATGTAGAGCCTTTTGGATTCTCAAGAAAAACCAAAGAGTTTTAACTCCCATCCTATAACTTTAATAATTTAATTTTAAAATATACTACTATAATTTTAATTAATCGTTAAAAAATATTAATTACAGAAAATAAACGGGCCGGACGGGCTTGTCCATATTTATTTTTATATTGCCCATGTCCGCTCGTTAATTTTAACGAACAAACCCGGGTCCATCCATGTTCTCAATAATCGTTGTCCAAACCCGTATTTTCTAGCGCTCGAACGAGATGAGGGGCTTTTTTTCTTCTTAGTAACAGTCTTACTCTATAAAATGACTTTTTGAATAAGCTATTAAGGTTAGGAATCGACGAATAGGTTCTGAAAGTCAGATCTGGGCTGTTCGGGGGAGTTGTGCAAGAGGGAGCTGTTGCCCTAGTCAAAAGTTGAAGCAGTTAGCAAATAGTTCTTTCCCAAAGAAGCATTTAACCATTCTCCGATCTATGTCATATTAACCGATTCACCGACATTAGCCTCCGAAGACATGATCCATAGTAGTCCCGTCCATGAACAACTCTAGTTCTTCCCATTCCAAAAGTCTTTCGATCTAAAGGCAGTTTGGAAGCTACAGATTCCATAATATTGCCAGTGGATATCTAGTCCTCTATCTTACATGATATGCCATTTCTTTAACTTCTTACAAGTAAACAAAACCAATATTAAGGGTTTTGTGAGAGAAACAAACAAAAGGAAGGAGGATGAGAGGTGTCACGAAAATGGAAGTAGGTATTGTTAAGTCGCAAAACCGAGTCCCCTTGCATAATCACACCGTTCCTCTATTTGCCTCACAATATTCTATTCTTCTCTTATGTTTTTTTTTTTAAAGTTTCGTAGGAAAATTGTATGTTACTTCTTTTCTTTTCTTTTTCAATTTCGGGCTTTTCATTTTTGTTTAATCTCGTTCTGCTTAGGAATATGTTATTTTATTAACATACTTGATTTGAAACCTAATATTTGAACTGTTTTCATAAGTTTCATCAGAATTGAAATCAAATATATTACTAAAGCTACATTTGGTCCATTTGAAGGAATATGAATGAAAATGGGAATAAATATATTCATTACGTTATTTTATATTCCATTATATTTCTTTATATTGTTTTTTTTTGTAAGGGTGTCCGGGCCAAAGCCCGACTAATCCCCGGCAAATTTGGAGGCTAAACATGGCCCCACTTAAATGTCGCCAACACTCCCCTCCCAGGGCTCGAACTTGGGTTCATGACAATGTCATGCCCAAGCCTTTACCACTAGGCTGGAAGAAGGTTTTTGACATATTTCTTTATATTGTTGATGTTTGTTTGATGAATATATTATCAAACAAGACATTCACCAACAACATCTGTATAGTTGAAGAGATCTGCATTTTCAGACCAAGAAATCATCAATACGCAACTTTTCCATCATCAATACATTATCTCCATTCTTTATCATAAAAATCGTATCTCCATCTCCAAGCTACCAACAACACATAACATCCCTAATTTCTCTCTTTCTTGAAAAAACCCTAATCGAGTAGGAGAGAAACCATCCCTTATTTCTTTCTTCATCAGAAAACCTTAACCGAGGATAACAAAAAATCAGAACATATATATTACCTATGTGAAAATCAGAGGAAATAACAAATTGATGTGATAAATCGAATTGAAATCTAGCATCTGAAATTGAGACAAATCTTCGATCTGATGAAGAAAACCGAGTTCACATTTCTTGATCGAGATGGAGAAAACCCTAACTGAAACATAGATTAATCTTCAAAAAACTTGATCATCAAACGAGATTTGTATAAGATTTGAGGTGTAGAAAAAAATAGATTGAGAGAGGGTAAGGGAGATGAAGATACGTCGAGGAGGATAAGGGGAGAAGAGATTTGTATCAGATATGTTGATTACTTCTATTCCTCCCAAACTGGGAGGAATGATTTTTAATCAAATCTATTATAATGATTAATTGATTACATGTTACCAAACACCATTTTTCATTCTATTTCCATTCCTTGTTTAAACCAAACACAATCAATGATTATCATTTTCATTTACTACTCTTTAATACCCCTAACCAAACACTCTCTGATTAAATTACTAATTAGTATGACAGACAAATTTTTTTAAATATTAATGTCTTAATAAGAATTTATTTGTAAGTACACTTTTATAATAAAAATGCATGTAAGTATAAATATACTAGAAGACTACTCGCGCAATGCAGCGCGATATATCTCGACTTTAATGTTTTGTTTTATTCCGTCTCTGTGATGTTTTAATACGGTTTTTATGTGGTTTTGAGAAATGGATAATGTTTTTTTAAATAAAATATAAATTTGAAGATATCATAGAATTTCGAAAAAAATATATATCAATATTAGTATCAAAATAACTATTTAAAAGTTACTATTTTTTGTGTAATTTCTTTAATTCAATTTTTTATTATAATTTAATTTAGATTTAATAACGGAGTAATTTATTTTTGATTTAATAATATATAATTTTTTATAAGGATAATAATTAAGTATTATGTTAAAACTCAATAATTATCTTAATTATATTTTAGATTTTTTACATTTAAAATGAAATGTTTATCTTGTATTTGACTATGATTATCTGCAGTTAGTTACACGAATTCAAACATGAAGCTTTAATAAATTGTACTTACGCACATTTTGTTTGTAACCTTGAATTTTAAGTAATATGCATCAATAAATAGTACTTCAAGCATAAAAAATAATTTTCAAGAGTTTTTGTCAAATGTTTTGTAATATAGTATAAATTATATTTAAAAAGTTATATAAAAACATTATAATTTTTATTATTGTGATAGTTGAATATTTTGAGATTTGGCCCAAAACGATTGATCCATCATCAAAGCCCAATAAAAGAAACAATCAATCCACAAGGGTGTTACCGTCATTTCACACACTTAACTAACCCTAATTTGCCAAAAGAACGCCATATATTTCATCTCTTTGATCGCCGTTTAATCCCTTCTTCCCCAACCCTACACCGCCGTAGCAACAATGAAGTACAACCCACGAGTCACCAGCTCCCGCCGCAAATGCCGCAAGGCCCACTTCTCTGCTCCGTCGAGCGTCCGCCGTGTGCTTATGAGCGCACCCCTCTCCACCGAACTTCGATCAAAGCACAACGCCCGATCCATTCCCGTCAGGAAAGACGATGAGGTCCAGGTTGTTAGGGGAACCTACAAGGGCCGTGAAGGTAAGGTGGTTCAGGTGTACCGCCGGAAATGGGTCATCCACATCGAGCGGATTACTCGTGAGAAGGTTAATGGGCAGACCGTTAACGTTGGAATCAACCCCTCTAAGGTTGTTGTCACAAAGCTGAGGCTCGATAAGGATAGGAAATCGCTGCTCGATCGTAAGGCGAAGGGTCGTGCTGCTGATAAATCGAAAGGAAAGTTCACCGTTGATGATGTTGCTGCCGGTGCACCTCTCCAAGATATCGATTAGGTTATCATTTACTTTTTTCTTAGCTTATCAAATTCCCCATTTTTATATGTTGTTTCAATATGAGAACCAGTTCTTGGAGTTTTATGCGTTTAACGGAATCTGATTAGTTTGATGTGGTTAGCATTATTCTGTTTTACGAATCTAACTTGAATCTTGTCTTCGTGATTGCTGTTTTGAATCAAGTGAAGTTGGTATCACATTTGAGTTCATTCATGGGATTCTTGATTTGGTTATCAGTAAATAGTGATTTGTGATGAACAGATTGTTGTTTATTTGATTTCAGTGGATCAGAATCATAATTAGAGCGTTGTGGGTTCATAATCCAATCTAAAAGTGTTCTAAATTTGGTCTGAAAACTAGAATTTATGATGCCAAATTGCAAACTAATCCTCTTAAAGGTTTGAAATTATGAGATGCTGCTTATGCCAAGTAATTGAAAGATGATTTCTTGATATACTTTTTGGTTAGGTGTTGTTCAATCACTTGTTTTACTGCTTATTGAATTCAGCTTTTTCAGTTTAATGTTTAGCTCGAATTTTTGCCGTTCCTCTATCACAAGAGTCTGCTATGTGTTTTCATGATTTTTAGTTGTATGATGAACTTAATAAGGTCCCAAGATTAAGATGGTTATGTGTTAGGGGCTGTTTACAAAAATGTTCACCAGATAAGCACCTACCAGCAATAGTGACCATCTCACTTACCTTATTGGATAACAATTCCATTCATCAAACCGGATTGTTGGTAAGCACTTATCGGGTAAGATTCTTGGTACTTGTTATGCTCACGTGTTAGGGTGAGTGATACTGGATAAGTGCTTGGTAAACAACCCTTTAGTGTCCATAACTTTATAGAAGTTTGAGTTGGTAACGGATTGAAGGTTTTAGCAATCGGTGTTGTTGCTTGTTCATGAAGCTTAGGATGGAATGAGAAAGTGTGGAATGATTTAAAGGTTTGTGTGGATTGATTTATGAATAAACCAAACAAAACCGACCTAGTTTATCCACACAGAGGTAGGGTGTAGGGTGTATGCAGACCTTGCTTATACCCCAAGGCGTAGAGAGGCTTTGTCCGTGAAGACCACCGGTTTACTAACATGATTTTCATCAATTATAAAGCTCCAGACTTTGTTTTCTTTATTCTGCAAACTAGTGTTGTGTAGCCATTTTTGTTGTGGCTGTAGCTTTCTTTCATGCTTAAATTGCAGGCCATTGGGATGATGTTTTGTGGGTGTAGTTCACCTTCAAACCATGCTGAAATCTTGTTAAAATTTTGAGAGATATCACATAAGAGAGGAGAAATATGAGGGGTTTCTTTTTAGTTGCTTATGAAGTTTTGATGATCCTGAAGTTGAATATGGCAATTAGGGGTGTTTATGGGTTGGGTTTTTCGGGTTGAAAATATTTGAACAACTCAATCTAATGCTTGCGGTTTTGAAAAATCTTAACTCAACCCAAATCAAAGTGCAATCCAATGTAACTCAAATTGTACAGATGGTCGGGTTTATATTTTGGTACATCAAAATAATTTTCCAACTTTTTTCTAGTCTACTAATAATTTATTTTTCATAATCAATTTGGTATAACTTATTCATACTTCTTGAATCTGAAGTATTTATTACATTCAATTATTTTTCTCAACTTAGGAAAGGTTCAAACAAGAACACCTTCACTTTACGAGAATACTTTTTTACCATAAACAATCACATGTGATACTATTATTTCAATACATATGATACACATGCGTCAGTAAATCAGAGACGTGGACGACTTTTGACGCGATCTAGGTTGTAGGCCGAGTCGCCCTTAAATCACTAAGCCCCCTCACATGTTCAATCACATGTGATAATGTGATATATAGAACATGTTATAATGTGATACTAAATCATAGACGCAGATGACTTTTGGTCCGACCTAAGTCGCAAGGCACGACTTCCATACACCACCAAGTCCCCTCAAGTGTATTATCATATGTGATAAAGATGTTTTCGTGTTCTCGTAAAATGGAAGTGTTCTCGTTTGAACCTTCATTTGTATGTATATGTATATGTATGTATGTATGTATATAGGGTTTGGCTCACGTGAGACCAGATTGTTTTGTGAGACCACTTTTTTATATTTTAAACTTCACAACAAAACATTATGAAATTTCAAATGTAAAAAAATGGTATCAAGGGTCTCACAAGAATAATATGTTAATACGTGATCCCAAATCTATGTATATACGTATACATGTATTTTTGTGTACAAGTTTCAATTATATCCAGGTCTCTTAATCCATACAAACCAAATAATTGAGAAAGATAGAAGTTATAAAATTTGATTCACTCTTAGGTAGATATTGTAATTTTGTACCCATTACTTTTGTTGTGTCATGTTATGATTAATATGTTGAGACATGAAATACAAGGACTTATTATAACAATGCTACACTTTTGATTAAACTTACAAATAACATCTATTGATTGACTAATATAATTTGGAATGGATAATTATGGTCGATAAATTTCAAACATTTGAACAGTTAAATGTGTACAAATTAAGATTTCGTCCTAAATTCATGATTCGACTTATCTTTATACTTTTTGATAACTGTTGACGAATAAATGAAATATGATAACAACAAGAGACTAGTTATAATATTTCTATATCTATATGTTTCTGAAAAGAAAAGGGTTTCTATTCATTCCAGATGTGGTCTGACATGACATTGCATGATAAATATCTTTAGGTTTTCATACAAAGTTGAATAGCACAATTTTGTACTTGATGTTCGAAAATATTTTTATCGACATATAAACTCATGACATCGAGGGCATAATTATAGGGACATAATATACCTATGCTGGTGGCATAGTTATGGACACTGGTGGGCATGAAATGACAAGTCATAAAAAGGACAGAGTTTCACAATATATATCTGATGATAAGAAAGACTAATAATATTAGGCTTTTTTAAGTTGTGCTTTAATCGGGCATGGAAAAAAGGTGGCGTCATCAGATTTTAAGGGGGTGTTTGGGATTGCTTATAAAAATAACTTATTGACTTATTCCGTGTGACACTCGTAATAAACACTTTTGAGTATTTGGATAAACAACTTATACCGGTGTCAAACTGGTAATAAGGAGTTTTTGAAAAAGTTAAACTACTGTGACTTATAATAAGTTGATAAATGCTTTTGTAGAAAAGCATAAGTTGTTTCAAATAAGCAATCCCAAACACCCCCTAAGACTGGGCATAGGTGTAGCTTGGGTTTCTTCGGGCAAGGTGTACCGATCTATAAATGGTGGATTTTGATGTACACTAATAGGGCAAATTGCATGAACATGTAACGTACTTTGTTCTAATTCATATTTGGGATAATGATATTTTCAAGTTTCAAAATGTTGGTAGCTAAGATGGAACGTCTCAAACATTTAGGTATCTAATTTATCTGATGACCTGAAAATGCTGATTCGTATCAGGTTATCAGTGACGTGTCATTAACTATTTTATATTTTAAATGCCAACTAAACAAAATTATTCCACATCATTAATTTTTAAATGTAAAATTTATGAATTCTTTACGAAAAGACAAAAAAGTTTTTTTAATATACAAAAAAATTGATCTAATTATTTTTTAAGTTTACATTTTTTAAAATGATTTGTGTGAGATTTTTCTTAATGAAAAATAATTCTAAAAAATATTTTTTTTATAATAACAAATATTTTTAAACAAAATTATCAATTATTCACATGAGTGAGCAAATATTAATAAATTAATAAATAAAAGTGATTTTTTTTATTTATATAAATTTCTTTTTCATTTTTTACTACAATTTTATTTATGTTCGTCTTAAAAAAAGCTAACAACAAACCATCTCGAAAACCCTAATTTCCCATTATATACGCCACCAATGTATCATCTTAAATCCTCATGAACGAGTACATGAAACCCACTTCAACCCTTGTAAACAGAATCACCGTGATACTGTCGAGAAGAATTCTCGATGGCCAAATCTCTCGTGATGTTTCGGTTTTCTCCGGCAAGAAGAAGTCGCAATCTGAAGAAGAAGAAGATGAGACCCCATTAAAGTTTGAATGATTAGGCATCTCGATTCCGGCGAAACCAATTCAAGCTCTGGTCGATTGCGAGCATGATGAGTTCCAAAATAAGAAGAAGAATAGAAGAAATAAAGCAGACGGCAAAGACTACATTGACGAGACGGAAGTGATTGTGAACTTGTTATTTTGAATCTGATTGTGTACGTGGTTGAATGTTCATGCTATTCATATCCTTGTAGTTTATGTTTTTAGAATTTAAAATACAATTACTACAAATCTAATATAAACATTTAAAACCAATTTTATGTAAAAAAAAAAAAAACTATATCATTTGCCACATCAATAATTAATATTGAGTGACATGTTATATTATCGGTCACATCCATCATGGTAACCTATTAAACCGGTTAACTAGATACTTGCAAGTTTGGGATATCACATCTCAAGTACCAAAATAAAGGTTTTAAAAGTACATTACCTAAAATAAGAATCAAATGAAAGTACTTTATATCTTCATGCAATTTACCATACTAACAAGGTAAAAAAAAAAAAAATGGTAAAAGGAAGCTAAAGAAAGTTTAGAATAACCAATTAACTTTTCATTTAAAATGATTTAGTCGCTAAACTTTTTTTTTGAATGGTTTAGTCCCCTATAGTCGATATCCACTGTTGTCCCCTACCATAAATCTCTCTTTTTTTGATCTGTTTTTTTTTTCTTTCAATTCTCCTTATTCACAACAATTAATGAAACATACATAGACATATAAAAAAGAAGAGGACCACAAAACAAAAAAAACCATAAAAAATAGTGAAGTCGATGGCAGGGGCCAACATTGGTGATGAGCGGTGATAGAGAGCAAACGATGATAAGGCAATTAGGGGTTTGAATGACGTAGGGTTAGGAATGGTAAGACCGATTTAAGTTTTTTTACTTTAAAACTTCCTAGACGATTTCAGGTAGGTTTTTTTTTGTTAAAAGAATGTAACTAACCAAATTTTAAAAGTTTGATAATTTATTTATTTAAAAAAATTCAAGATCTTAATCTATACTATATAATAAAGCATTTGATAAAAACTCTTAAAAATCATTTTATATATGAATTATTGTTTATTGATGCATATTACTTGAAATTCAATATTACAAGTAAATTGTACGTAAGTACAACTTATGAAAGCTTCATTTTTGATTTCGTGTAACTAACTGCAAATAAATATAATCGAGAGGATAAACATCTCATTTTAAATATAAAAAATTTAAAATATTATTAAGATAATCATTGAATTATAACAAAATATTTAATTAGTATCTTTATAAAAAAATATTAAACGAAAAATAGAAAAATGTATTCAAGAAATAGATAAAAAAGAAATTTTAAATAGTTAGTTTGATACTAATATCTATTTTTTTTTCAATTCTTTATGATGTTTTCATATTTATATCTTATTTAAAAATAAAAACATTATTGTTTTCTCAAAATCATATAAAGTCGTATTATAACATCGACTGAGACAAAAAAACACAAAACATTAAAATCGAAATGTATATCGTTGCATTATGCGAGTATTCTTTTAGTCATTTAAAATAAGAAAGTTTAATGCTCATTTTTTTGTTTAAAAAAGGTTTTAAGAACTAAACTATTTAAAACAAGAAAGTTTAAATTTATTCAAAAACATTTAGGGAGTAAACCAATTCAAAATGAAAAAATTGCTTGGGCTTTTTGGACTTTTTCCATTAAGTTTTGTATGGATAAAATTTTGTATGAATTGGTCTGTTGGTGTAGATTAGAATTTTTTTTGTTTAAGAGGTTTTTTAATAAATGGAAAGAGTATATTTTTTTAATTGATGTTTGAAAAAAACTTGGCTTTCTACGTAAAGCTATTTTTATAACAAACATTTTGTATATGGTTAAAGATAGTATAATATCAAAGAGTGATGTGTAACTTACCAAATAGTTAATATACAGTGAGTCCAGTTAAGTTGTGATTGCTTATTTGAAATAACTTATGTTTTTTTTTATAAAAGTACTTATCAACTTATTATAAGTTAGAAGAGTTTAACTTATTTAAAAACTGTTTATTATCAGTTTGACACAAGTATAAGTTGTTTATCCCACTCAAAAATGTTTATCACCGGTGGCACACCGAAATAAGTCAATAAATTATTTTTAAAAACAATCCCAAACACCCCATAAACAGTCAATAATCATTTATAAAATCGAGGCAAGGTAAAAGTTCTCTTTGATTCATCAAAATACGAAATTACACAATTGGAAACAAAATCAACAGCTGTATGAATCAGAGCTGAATTAACAATCGCTTATTCGAATCTGAATGCGGTTTTACTATCCGGGATTTCAGATTTGCCCAACTAGATCCGAACCCGAACCCCTGCCCATACCCAAACCCTACTCCAACGCCGCATCCGATACCAAATCCAAACGCCATCCTTACATGATTCCAGTCGGAACCCCCAAACCCCACGCCGCCGACCAGCCCTATTCCCACTCCAGCGCCGCAGCCGACCCCTGCACCGGCTCCTGGACCCAGGACGGCTTCTTCTAGTTTAGAAGTGTTTTCGTGGAGGAAATCGGAAATGGAGTAAGTCTTTTCAGCATTGGTGGTGAGCTTTAACCCCTTCCATTTCCACAACGGCGGCTCCGGCTTCTTTGTCTTTGATGGGTACACCATTGATGTAACTGGAATTAGGATAAGGATTGGGGTTCATTGATTTTGACTATAGTCGAAAATTGGATTGGAATTTGGAGGAGGTAGGTAGTTTATTGATAAGGTCCGTTGTCTTATGCTGCTATTAATATATTATAACACTACAAATCTTCGGCCCAATGGGCTTTAACGGCATCTGTAACTGCTAAATTGTTGAATGAAATAGTCATAGGAGTTGAGTTTATAAAACAAAACTATAAAGTGTTACTATAGTTTTACAAAACTCTTTTTGGCCTTTCAACAAGTTTTTTACGTCGTTTTTAAATCAAGTGTCATATTAACTATTTTATAGAACAATTTTGAGAAGTTCTACAAATTCGTCTATTTATAGGGCACTTGTGTTTATATTACATTTTTTTTAAATAGTGTCGTATAAAATAACTATCATGACAATTTATTTTAAAAGCGTCGTAAAAACTTGTTAAAATACCAAAAGCGAACACTTTGTAACACTTTTAAATATGCCATTTTTTTGTTTCGTCCTATAAATTTAAGTCTTATAAAGTAGCATATTAAAACGTTTAGACATTTTAATTGTCCTATAAACCTAACGTTATTTTAGTGAAATCCTCTAACTATTAGCATTTTATTTGCATCAAAGTAAAAATATCAAATAAATGAGTATTTAGATTGATAGATTCGTCAACTAAGTATCCATCGATATCATTTATATTCTTCGGCACATTTATTTGTTGTTACTGCAAAAAGATTTCAATAAATTTATCCTTTTAGATTATTGCCATCATCAATTGGTGGTAAATCTCTTTTGCTAACATGTATACTATACATATAGCTAAAAATAAATACAAACATAAACTCTACAAACGTTATATAAAATTTTATACAATATATATATGGGTTGGGTTCGCGTGAAACCAAGAGTTTTTCGTGAGACCCGTAAGACCAATTCATGTTCATTGATCAACTTTATAAGCTAATGATCTAATGGTCTAAAGTTGCAAGGTGACAATTTTGTAATTATTGAGAAGTCTCGTGGCGTTTATATTGTTCAGATCTGACGATTGTAAATCTAATCCAAGGGTTGAGAATTGGTCTTACGGGTCTCACGAAAAACCATTGGTCTCACATGATCCCAAGTCTATATATATAGGGTATATTTCAAATGTCATGTCCATTTGTACAACCCAATCAATTGAGATATTTATAAAAATGATAAAAGTTCATTTATTTATTATGATTTGAATATTTATAGAAGATGACTAATGTTCATTAATTATGATTAATACTTTATATTAGGAAACAATCAAAACTTTTATGAAATCACATATTCATCAAATCTAATTAGATGATTTAGATTAAGTTGTATTGATTGTACAAATGTAAATGATTGCATAATAATCCACCTCTAAAAATATAACATAATTTTATAAATTTTTTTACATAAACATGTTTGGCGACATTATATACAAACGAATAATAACAAATTTTTAAGTATTATCCAAAAAATTTAAAAATAGAAACTCATAAAAAGTATTAATTGTTAAACACGATTAATTTTATTTCATTTTCAAGTTATTACGTATAAACATGTGTTGTCATTAGAACGAGACGACGTACAAATTCAAGATTGAAGGGTAAATTGGAAGAAAAATATTAAAAGAAGAAAGAAATAAAAGTAAGATTGGGACAATTGTAAATAAAAAATACTCGTAGGAGATTACTAAGGGGCCGTTTACTAAACGCTTACCCGGTAAATGTTTATCGAGTAATTTTTCTCACCGAATGAACATGACAAGAGTTAATAATCTTACTTGGTAAGAGCGATGATAAGGATGAATAGTCTTACCCGGGTAAGCGCTTACCAGGTAAATTGATGCATATGATACCGTTTTGATTTACTACAATCTTATCCGATAAAAATAAATTATAATGTTGATTTCTACTGATAAGTGCTTACCAAGTAAGTATTTGGATAAACGACTCCTAAAACTTTTTATTTAATAGTTGAGGTATTGAGTTCAATGTCAAAAAAACATTGAACCCACGACCTTAAGGAAACCAAATAATGCCCAAACCATTCTAGCAATCTCATACTTGTGTTTTATTTCATGTCTTAAAAGTATATAAAAGCACACTTCAAAATTAAGCGATTACACAATCACGACAGGTAAAATTAAGATTTTCATTACGAAGGGACGATCTAGCGGGTGCCCATGTACCTCCTACTCTGTGAGTAGGTCTGCCCCTGATATTACACATAGATATAAATAAAAAATTTATCCAAGTTGTATATATATTACCGGCAGGTAGGGTTGTGTTGAGCTAGGCTAACCCAATTTCAACCCTCTTAATTAACGGTTTAACATCTTAACAGTTTGTCGGGTTGATGGTTTAACGGTTTAGCAGGTTAGACTTAATTGAGTTATTAACAAATTAGGTTGGATGAGTTAAACATTTATAGATTTATAATTTATGTATTATATAAAAAACAAATAAATATAGAAATACCGACCAATGAAACAAAATAAAAACGAAAAGACTCCTTGTAACCAAAGAATACCGAGATAACATTCCGAGTCTATATACAGTTGCTTGATTTTAATTTTATCAGATATGAAAGAAAAATCGCTTGAAATTTTAAAATGCAATAAAAAGAAAAAAAAAAAAGACTTTTTGATGCATCTAGAAGCTAGGACCGTGAACCGGTCCGGACCCCCCACCACCACAATACCAAATTGAAAACGATGTCTCGCCGCTCTCAATACTTAATTCATTGCGCTACTTTTTAACATTTCAATACAAATTTCTACCACTGACTTGGAAATGCTGACATATGTTTTTTTTTTAATTTTTATAACTGATAAAAGTATTTTGTAAGTTTCTGATTAAAAAATATAAAGAAATAATTTTTGTTTTACAACAGGAATTCTATATTTCTCCACCTTTTTCATATGACGACACAACTTAATGCATTTATTTTATATATTAATGCTTTATATCAAGAATTACTTCTTTACTAGACTTTACCAAAAATATTAATTCTGACACAATTATTTTTAGTTGAAAACGGTGCTTGGATTTTGGTTAAATGGAAATAACCTCGTTTTTTTTCAAACATGTCAGTAGTAGCTTATTAGTATTATAGAAGATAGGGATATAAATTATAATCGTAAATCAGATTGATTAATTGGTTTGCTTGGTTTTTGGATACATAGATAAGTGTTAAATTACAAAAGTATCAAACTGATTTGTTTGCTTGAGAAAAACACAGTCAAATATCCAGTACAAAGTAGAGGAAACTAATATGGACGCAAAAAATAAATTTTAAGAACATCTTCTCTACAATTTTCTTGAAAATAGAAAACTAAAAATCAAAATCTCTAAAATAAATTACAACCATCTCCAACAAATTCTCTGTTTTCAAGATTTTATTATTAATTATATTACTTAAATATTCTATAATTTTGTAATCACAATATACTTTTTAAAAGTACATATATAAAATGATATTAATCCAACCCATATAGTTGGATGAATAAAAAAACCCGTTTCTCTCTCCCCTCTCTGGATTTTTAGAGAATTCTTTATATTTGGAATTTTTTCTTCATGATTCTCTGTTTTAGAGAATGAGATAGGGAAACTGTTGGAGCATTATAGAGAATACAAAATTAATTTTCTCCGTTACAGAGAAACTGTTGGAGATTCTTAACGTGGACGAGAGAATGAGCTCTCTTCAAATTATTTATGGAAAACCCCCGCTCAAATTCAACAATAAAATAGATATAAAATAGAACGGTACTTGTCAACACACTATGTCATCGAGGATTAACTATGTATTACTTATTTCATTTGTATATCTCAATAAATATTTAGCTAAATGGGCAATTGTTGAATCCTGCATTAAAGAAAAAATAGTCAAAAAAGCATCAAAAGCGTTTTTTTTTAGATCAACACAGATAAGAAACAATATGATCAATTATATGTCGACGATAGTTCATGAGACGACGACATGTTCTTGTAAATTTCAAGCATTAATCTACTCTCAAACTCATCTCTAGAACCAGCAATGCTTGACGAGTGATGAGATTTCGATTTGCTTTTCTTGCCAACTGTCGTAACCTCTTGTTCTTCAGAGCCTCTGTGTAGGTTGAACAACTTCTTGATCTTCCAAAACCGGCCATGACGGCTTTCTCCAAACTTGGCAGTCTTGATGTTTCTTTGATCAGGGCTGCTGTCAATTCCTCCGTCGTAGATTTTCCTCCTCCAAGCCTTGTTAATATCGACCGAAGTGGTCGAAAAGCTCCTTGTTAGGGTCTCCATCCCCATGAGTGTGTGTTTTTCTGTGTGTGTGTGAGAGAGAGATGATATGCATGAGAAATGATTTTGATGGTAGATTTGTATATATAGATGAGAAAAGTGAGGAGCCATTAGGAAATAGCCATGTGTCACTCATATGGAATTTAAAACTTGAATTCCTCTTTTTTAATATTTTTTTAGTGATTACAATGTGAACATAAAGATTCATCAAAATTAAAAACCAATTTTTCTATAAAACCCGGTAATTAATGTAAAGTTTAAAAATCAATTGTTTAATGTGTTGTTACATATATATACAATGTATATATGTATAAAAATACAGTGTTTATATAGTGTTGTGTCATATGTGAAACATTGAAGACTATTTTTTTTATATACAAAATATTCATTGACATTTCACAAATAACATAACAATGTATAAATATTGGATATTTACACATGTTGTTGCATATGTGAAACAACACATTAAAATTGGTTTGTGTGTGTGTATAGGATAAATCAAATGCAAACCATAAAAACATTACAAATAATAAAAACCAATCAGTTAAAATATTTATGAAAATGATGAAAGTTCATTTATTATGACTTGAATATTTATGAAAGATTAATATAATTAATCAATTATGATTAAAACTTTATATTAGGAAACAATGAAATATTTATGAAGCTAGATATTCGTTAGACTA